TCAGCTGAATTCAAATTTAAGCATAATTCCACTATAGCATAATGTTAATTAGGCAGTTTTCCCAAGTCTGAGAACATCAATGCTAAGCCAGTTACGATGTTTTGAGGATTCACAGCTTAAATCCACTATAACATTATGGAATCCATCCTTCAGGATTGTGGCAAAAGGCTTCAGAGAAGTTTTTGTTGCTGTAATAATCCTATTTAAACAAACAAAAAAATCAAGTTATCAGAAGTTTGTCAAACATAAGTATTACTGTTAAAAATGACTTACTGCCCATATCTAAGATTAATAATCAAGTCACACGTAGGTGTGTTAAATGTTAACGTTGAGTTTTGAATAGGAAAAAAATCACAGTGAGTTATATTTAGATGGCAAGAATATAAGTCAGTGACAATCAGGCATGTAACAACTTTTCAGGGTTCCAACTGCTATAGCAATGATACAAACTATAGTGTAACCTGCTGGTTTCCAAACACCCAATGTGAAGACTATCTGGCATAACTTAACTTTTTCTTTAAATACAACATCCAAGACCATACTGATTTTGCATATAAGGTAATCTCAAACTAGTTCATATATGGTTCAAACTTTTGGTCCTATTGTCCTACTCAGGCTTGTGTAACTTTAAACGAGCCAGAGTTTGAGTCTACATAAAGCAAAATGAATGATGTTCAATTAAATACTGTTTTAGTGCTTTTATTTTTTATTATTATATTTTAAATAGATTTTTATTGACTTCAGAGAGGAAAGGAGAGGGACAGAGAGAGAGAAACATCAATGATGAGAGAGAATCATTGATTGCCTGCCTCCTGCACTCCTCACATTGGGATCGAGCCCACAACCCGGCCATGTGGCCTGATCTGGAATCGAACGGTGAACTCTTGGTTCCTAGGTCGATGCTCAACCACTGAGCTATGCCAACTGAGCTCAGTACTACTTTTAAAATTCCAGGTATTCAACAGGATGCTGTTTCGGAAGCTGATAATGTAATGAAATGGCTAAATTGCATACCAAAGATTGACTATTTCCTTACTGTTAGGGTGTTGTGCTTTGAATGTAGGTAATGCCCTAAAATATTAGCTGACTAGATCAGTGAAATCATTATCCCCTTTGTAGTCCAATTCCATTTTTGTTTGGAAAATAATTCCGATTTTAATTCTTGAATTATAGAAGAAAATTATAGCATTATAAAAATTTCTCTATATGGGAAAGAACTATGAACCCAATTTACCAATTAAGGAACCGTTTCAGGAATTGTTGGAAGGTGGGTTATTCTGTAGTAACTATGCTTCAATTGCCGTGCAGTCCGCCCAGAAACAATCCATTTCAGCTTCTGAACATTTGGTTTGGAGCACTTGTTTGATGAATATTCAGTTAAACACTTGGATACGAGCTCTTGCCAGAAGGTCAAATCTCTGCCATTTATCTGTGCATAAATTTTAAAAAATTACTACTCAAAAGTTTTATGGTATTTAACTGCAGTAATACTTGTAATCTTATTAACATGTGTCTTTCCTTGTCAAAATATTTGAAGCTACTCAAGTTTCAACACATGATATCTCATTTTAGTTCAGGAGACAGTACAAGTGTATTAGTTTCTTTTACAGCTGTTAACAGGAATGACCTTGACATACCTTGGAATGTTTCTGAAGACATTCTACGACTTCGGTTAACTCTACACACTTCTGTGCTTGGATCTCCAATGCAATGATAGACAATGCCAACACAGAAGGCTAAAAGAAAAAAAGTTAAGGTAAATGTTGACTATAAAAACAGGTACATAAATAGGTTTACTCTTTATATAAAATATTTACCCTTGCTTTAGAAAATAGGATCCTGCAGTGGCATGCCTTCAGTTGAGCTTCTAATCTTTCAAAATTAAGGCTATTCCTCCTTTAAAAAGAAAATGAGATTAATTTTATGTAGATAATTTTACATCTAGTCAAAAGTCAAATTTTTAGAAAGACACTGAAGTCAATTTTAAAGTTTAAGTTTATACACACAGAAAATAAATTATTTTAAGTAAACAATTCCTGTTCCCTCAAAGACATGAACTCCTTAAAAATAAGTAACTAACTCCTTAAGGATAGCAAACATAAATTTTAAGTCAGTTGGGCCAAAAAAAATAAAAAGTATCATGCCATAACTAACAAGGTTCCTTTTTATCTTTTTTAACTTAAAATAATCTTTATTGTTGAAAGCATTACAGATGTCCCCGTTTTTCCCCTATTGATCCCTTCTAGCCTGCACCCACCTCCTACCCCAGGCCTTCACTATGGTTTTTTGGATTTTAATCTATTTCTCAATCTACTGAAGTTCCTTTTTCCAGTAATCTGTTAGATGCATACCTACTAGTTCTATAAATTAACTAGTCTATAAATGGAAAATGAATATAAGTAAAAGGTGAAATATCCTTTAGTCTCAAGAATTAGCCTTCACATACTTCCAGAGGCTATTGACAACTGAAAGTCTCATTTCTGCTGGATAGTGAAGTGAAATTCAAGGAGCTGCAGGTCCTTTGATAGGAGTTCTCCCAGGATCTTGATTTTAAGCATCATCCAGATAATAACATGCTAATTTCCAAAAAGCCTTGGTTCAAGACAAGGATTACATACCTTTCAAATGGCGAGTTCTCTTGAATGAGTGAGTAATAGAGTTGCAGAAATTGAAAGGCAGTAGTAGCTTTGACTTTCCAACACACTTTCTCCAATACAATCTTCTCCATTCTCATCAGGTCTGAAACGGTGAACCTATACTGGCTTATTCGGATCAAGTCACTTGCCAATGGGACATTCCTTTCCTCTTCTATTGATTTTACAGCCAGGTAGAAGCAGCTTAGTCCAACACACCCAAGGTGCTTGGGCTGAACCTAAAAAAGACAATAAGTCCATGTCTTTACCTTATTTCAATTAAAAAAAAAAGATAATCCAGAACTCAGACCCATCATTATAAAAATGAACTTTTGAGGTATATTTGTCATTTCTAAAGGAATTAACAAGTCAACTGTGGCCTGACAATACAATGCACCCCCACTTGGAACCAAATTTGGAGTTGCAGTATAATGTCTGGGTTCAGCAAATAAAAATTCTTTATTTTTTAAAATCACTATAGAACTAACTATAAGTGCTCTGTTCTAGTTGGACTAAATAAGTTAACTGGTCAAAGGCTTAGATGAAGACTGAAACACCTTACAGCTTACACACAAAATTTCTTTCCAGAATGTTATGTTTTTCCAGGATCTTTTCTCTATAGTAACACCTGTTTAAAACACTATAGCACATAACTTAAGGGATAGATGTATCTTACTCATCTGTGCAACATTTATAGATTCAAAGATGCTGTCTAAAGAGTTGCATAATTAACCTATTCAACAAATTTCTTGAGCCATCCAATTCAACAAATACATTATTGAGTTCCTCCTATATAGGAGACACTGTGTTAGGTATCGAGAACTAAAAGATGAGTTTTATTCCAACTGTCAGATTATCTCATTATCTACCAATGACCATGGGCACACAGAGAAGGCAGATGTATTTTTAACAGCTAAGCTAGCTCTGAAAGATACTTCGATATCCTGCTTATCCAAATATAGGGAAATAATTATGTAAATGCTGTTCCATCAGAAGATACTCTATTTAAGCAGATGCTGGAAATGCCAAACATAAGCAAGACTTGAGTATGTCTAAGGCTAAAACAAGTATAACTTTATATATGAGTGGAGATCAATATACTTTATTGACCAAGTGGTTGATAACATCTCTAATTATTAATCACAACCTAGCATTCTGATGCTAACACATTTTTTTTTAAAAAAAATAAAAAATGAAAACACCCAACCTATCAAGAAAGATTTTTAAAAATAACAGCCAACTCTCCTACTGGGAGACTGCAATTAATGATTTGGTATTAGACTATGTTTCAGTGTCTGAAGTTAAATCTAATAAATAATGCATTACTCTTGATTTTAAAAAAAAGTATTCATCAGTGCTGTAGAACAGAGAATTCTTGGGCTACCTGCTGAAAACAAAAAAGGTCAAGTTTATAAATACCAACCCAAAGCTAGCAATTCCATCTCTAAAACATTGAGCAAAATTAAGAAACACTCAGGGTAGCCCTGGCTGGGTGGCTCAGTTGGTTGGAACACTGTCCCATACACCAAAAAGTTGCGGGTTCAATTCCTGGTCAGGGCACATACCTAGCTTGTGGGTTTGATTTCTAGTCTAGGCACGGATGGGAGACTACTGATCCATGTTTCTCTCTTTCTCTAAAATCAATAAAACATATCCGCGGCGAGAATAAAAACAAAACAAAGCACTCAGGGTAATGTAGCTTTAAACATACCTTCATTTTGGACAGGAATCTGTCCAGTAGATTCACAGCCAGAGAAAATGTCTCTGTGTCGAAGCCAAAGAACTGAGTTAGACTAAGGAGATCCTTCACTTCAAAGTCCCTCAGTCTCGCAGTCATCCTGAGGCCTTTATCGTAAGCAGATTCAATGAGTCTCAAGCCGCAGACCTTTGGCTGGCATTTCGGCTCCTGTTCCAACAGGGCATTCAGCTGGTGTAGCAGTTTCTGAGAGTCAGTTGTTGTGAGGACCTCTATCATCTATATATAGAACAAAGGCCAGAAAGGATAAGAATAGCCCTTCTGCACTGTATTGTGCCAAGTGCTTGATAACATCAGTTTCCCCTTCCCCAGCGCTGCTAGTAAATCTAAGTCATTGCAATTTTAAAATATTGCAAACCTTCCAAGAAATACTCAAGTCATTCACTGTCAAGAGATGACTCTAAGTTGTTAGACAGGATACCCAAACTTTGAAATTCTGCCATGCATTAACAGTGGGAACTGTTCAGGTTAGATAATTTTTCTTAGCCCTCAGTTCCTCATCTGGAAAGTGGGTATGAGGTTATCATTACCCACCTCGCTGACTTGTGTGGAATACATGAGGTCACCTGGGTGTAGAGCTTAGCATATACAGTAGGTGCCTAATCAACACTGGGCAATATTAATGAGCTTACTTCTACGTCTGTAAAATGAGGCAATAATATGTCTCTCTGGCTGTGAAGATTAAATAAGACGATTCATGTAGAATTTAGCACAGTGCCTGGCCCACGGTGCTCAATACCTGTGAACTTTTATTGGTGTTAGGAAAGGAAGCTTAAGGAGTGTTATAGGAGCACAGAGGGAGTGGGAGGCTAATCCAGCCTGCAAGAGGAAACTGGGAGTTTTCTAAATTAATAAATTGAAGTGGATTGATAATTTTATTGCTTATTAATAATATTGCACATTTGTGTCCCAGGCACCACGCTACGTCTTGGACGCACACACACACGGTCCCTCCCTACACAACGGAAAG